TGACTGGCAAAGTCAGTCTCTTGACCTCTGGCCAGCTGAACAGATAAATCATTCAGTGAATTACCACATGAAATAGGTGCCAAGTCAAGTCCAGTTTGCCAAATTTTCTCAGAACAAACAAGTCAAACTGAGCAAATATAGACTATATACATGATATGGAACTCCTGTTATTGCCCAGGCTCCACTGAAAAATAGTGCAGAATGTTTAAATATGGGAACATATGGGCAGAGTGGTAGAATAAAATGAGATGCTGCTGTAAGTGCAGCTAATAAATCTACATACCAGATCCGGATTCAGAAGAAGCTGCTTCTTCTTATCAGCTCTCAAAACCTTTCTCCTGCCATCCTTTCAAAGTCATTTTAGTAGCATGAGTATCTGTAGCCAATGCATGAGAGTTTACTTCTGTATAGTGTAAGCTGCTCTTGGTGGACTTGGGTTCTGTGCAGTCCCGAGCAAGCAGTGGTATCCATGCCTTCTCCATAATCTGAAATGCTGTGGTGTTTTTTTTCATTCTGCCTTGTTTTATGAAATATGGTTGTGTTTCATGAAACATCTTTTTTTTTCTTTTAATTTTGCGTTGTGTAAAATACTATGGTATTTTGTGAAATGTAAAGTTTTTTGCGCAGCTCAGAGCCACCATACAGTGCAATAACCCCCTCAGAACCACAGAACTATAAATCAAGATAATCAGTGTTCATACTGGTAGTTCTGTGTTGTGGGATGTGATGGACACTGCAACCTCTAAAGACCCCTAGGAACACAAGATTTATAGTCTGCTAGATGAACGGGATTATGTATAGTTCTTGTTTCAGTTTTCACACTTGTACCCATACAGCTACAAACCACTGCATTTACAGTATTACTGCAACTGGTGGTCTATGCTTTTGATCTGTGTGACAAACATTTGGAGTCAGCTGGTGGTCACATATAGCAATATTCGTCTAAGGAATATAGTCTTGGTATTCATTAAGGGTCCACTGTAGGACATCAAATCGTGAAGAATTATGTTGGCAGAGTGTGTGGCTCCATGCCAGTGATCCGCATTCAGTATTTGGTATTCATCTTTTGTTTATCTTCCAGATGGCTTTCAGCTACAGTAAAAGAAGAAATCAGGTTTCAAGAGATTTTTAGCTTTATCTTAGTAGCAAAAACAACAGATTTGACCACACATAAAACTTAGAGCTCCAGGTAAGAAATGTGACCAGCTGCACTGTAACAACACAGTGAAGTTCACCTGCCACACATATACCAGCTGGTGTATGATGCAAAAAAAAAAAAAAAATCTATATACAGAAACACTGTATACACACAGGCATATCCCAAATACCACAAAAAAATCATTCAGACACCACACGAGTAATGACAGCATGAGTGTATACACTGGACTAAACAGTCTCATGGGTCAGTTAGGCATAAACTCGTGTTGTTTAATAATGGTTTAGTAAGTAAATCTAATAATGAACCAATTTAATGAAAGTCCAATGTCCCAAGATTTTCTATTAAACCCAACTGAGGAGAACAGAGCAGATTTAAGTTTCCAAAAAGTGAGGTCAACCTTTTGAAAAAAGTGACATTGATAGTGGTCTATTTATACAAAATGATTCAAAGTACAATCTCAAAACAAATTCTGGGACTTTTTAAAAAAATGTAGGAAATGTACAACCTTGCAAACATAATGAGAAACTCATTAACCTCATCTGTATAAATGCATAACAATAATCTTCTGTGACTTCCAAAACTGGATATAGTGTTTAAAGGGAAATTCTGGCTCTATAATGTACAGCATGTTTCTGAAGGAAAGATGGTAAGGGAGAGGGGTATGTAGTGATTGTTGACACCACACATTTACAGTCATCCACATTGCTGCCCCTGTTTGTATGTGTTTTATTGTGTTTACTTACTAAAACAATGCAAAATAAACCTCTCAGCAACACTTAGGTGTCCTCACACAGATTTCATGGCCTGCTGAAGGCTGAAAGGTGGTGATAGACCGGTTACCTCATACACATAGGACCTTTTTTTCAGATCAGTTCAGTGCTGCTGGTGGTGAAACATGAGTGATGAGGAAATTTGCAATACAAAATGACCCAAATATATAATTAAATTAACCCATTACTGGCCACGAAGTTCTAATTGTCCATAAAATTTTATCACCAACTTTTTTTTTAAATCATATCATTTCCATGCAGCCTGATGGCAGATGGGTGCAATAAGAACTGGGAATCTTTGGTTTAACTAATCTTGATAATTTGATTCCAACCTGTCTTATGGTCTGGATGCTCGTGTTTCTTGCATTTTATGCCTCATGTGACCATGTTTACAGATCTCAGCAATTACTCTGGTGACAGGTTGAATTATCTTACAACATCCTGGCACAAATTTCCTTCTCAATAATTTGGCCTTTTTTAAACCAGTAGCTGAGTCTTCACATACAGCACATCCATAGTTTAGGATAATCTGTGTTGTCAGATAAAAGTTATGATTAGCTTACAGAATTATTGAGTGACTGCTTAAATATACAGTTTGTATAGAAAGTTAATATATTCACACACAACTTTGTGAACACATGTTTTTTCATAAATCTAAACAAAATATTTTGTGTATTCATGTTTGACCATCAAAATAAGATATTTTCATTATATTTTAAATGTATACAGTATAATAACAGTCCATGTGCATGACCACATACTGTATTTCTGTAATTGATAGAGTAGCATTGCTCCTTCATTTCCCTTCAGCTCTTAGTGGCTGATCAGTTGTTTTATTATATCTTTGTACAAAGTGAGAGGCAAAACAATTTGTATTTGGCTTTAACTGTGAAAACCCATCGTCCTATCTCACATGAGCCTGGCCAACAGAGAGGAAGGGATGAAAATGAATGTGCTTTATGTGGGGCAAAGGCTCTTAGAGCAGCCTGTCTGTCTGGGCATGGGTGTTGGCCATCCAGTTGGGCAGTGTTTGACAGTGTGCCGTCTTCATTCTTTCCTAGACAGTACTCTCTATCACCCAGTCAGTGCTGTCAATCGTCCCTTTGCTCCCTCCTGCATCCACCTCCTCCTCACACTGCAACAGCATGCCATTTATAGACAAGCTTCTCTTAGTCCAGATATTGCTGATCCTGCGTGGTTTGTTGCACAGCTGACCAGCACCAGCCCCTGCTACATCTCCCATGTCAAAGGACTGGCTTCGTTTCAGTTTGGAGTCCAGTGGGACCATGAGGAGCCGGCTAAGGCTGGAGTCCAGTGTCTGGCCCAGTAGTGGTTCCCTGTCAGCACGGGGCTTGGCTAATGTTATTGCAGAGCTACTAGAGACTCCCAGGTCATGGCCCTGTGCTCCCCGCAGGTCAAGTGAGGTGAAAGCCCCAAGGAGTTGGTCCAGGTTGGACTGAGGCTTATGGGGAGCTGGCCTCCAAATATTTGCAAGTGTGCTGTTGGGGCTGCATGAGCCCGCAGCCATGGAGCCCGAGGAAGCAGAAGAAGATGTGAGGCTGCTCTGGAGGGAGCCACACTTGAACTCCACTACCTCATCCTGCACAGTCACTTTGGCCTTGACCTTCAGCTCAGGCTGAAGCTGAGGCTGGGGCATAACACATCCATTATGCCTGAAGCGACCCCCGTTGGTCTGAGAGTGTGTGTCACTGGCACTAGATAGCTTCCCAACCGGAGGTTCAGTATCTGCAGTTTTGTAGCGTACCATAAGGATGACAATAAACACAAGCAGGGTGGCCACGATGATACCTCCAACAACCAGGATCATGGTGCCCCCCAGCAGCTGGCTGGGCAGAGACTGGCACTGAGGATAGTCATCCTGGGTGAAAAAATGTGTGCAGCCCACAACGTTGGTAGCTGTAAGCGTGGTGGCAGTGTCATCCCAGGCAGCCAACACACACAGATCATAGCGAGTCCCAGACACCAGATTCGTCACCAAGAAAGCTTTGCTGGAGGCCGGGATCATCCTTAACAAAGACAGAACAAACAATTAAGACCTGTATTAAGATAAAGTGGTCTTCCTCTGTTATGGACAGATATCTCTTTTAAAGACACAAAGGTAGTTGTAAAAACCTAGATGAAAGATTACAGTAAATGCTATAAATGACAGAGCCATCAACATCTGAACAGGGTACACCTAATTTCAGGAAATGGAGACTTAACTGTAACAAATTGTTGCTGTAGGTAATACAAGCTCTATTGCCAGTGCTGTTATTCATTAAAGGAGAACCAGAATTTCCATTTGCATTTCCTGGAATTTCTCTCTGCTCTCTCTGTGGTTGCTGCCTTAACAGACAGCCATCATTAACTGGCTTTATCATTCAGAGCCATCTGTCTTGCTGCAGTGTACAGAGGGCCCATTTGACATGTGAGCTGTGGAGCAGTGATAAATAAGTAGAAAATCCAGGAAGGGCAAGAAACACTGGAGAGTGTAGCACATTTTATATGGGCCAATCCAAGATAGAGTTGGACCAAAGGGAACTGTCAGGTGTTGGGGTATTGCTTTCTGGAGAGCTGAAATACTGTGTGAACAAATATATATGTCTGTGCATGTCTATCTGTGCATGTCTATTGCCGTGGGATAAAATCAATGCACAGAAAATCAATGCAGTGCCAAGAGTCATTTATTGAACAATATTATTGAAATATGATTGAGAGGGCAGGATACAGGATCACCTTGTCAGTCTAGTCTCTCAAGCAGAGGACGTCAGGCAGCCGGCCACAGGGCAACTCTTTTCCCAGGGTCTTCATGCACATGCACCTGATCAATTCTGTTGCTAACTTTATTTCAATTTCTCGCTTCCTGTTATTGTCCCCGCTCTGATGTCAACCTAGTCTTGCTTCTCTTTTTTCGGGAACACCCTGCAAGATGTACTAAACAACAGGAGGCCTGGTGCCTGAACCCCTCTCAGAGAGCAGTACAAGAGAACAAAACATACTACATGTTATGCATTAACTATTAACTATATTCTTTGTTTTAACCACTACACTATCTAACTCTTTCCAGGCCAACAGTTTCCCTTGCAGGGATTCACATCATCCCTGGTCATTCAATCCATAGGTCCACCGCACCACAGTGCTGCCCTTATGAGACAAAATACAGGGGGTGGGTGTAGAGCCGTTGCCGGAGGTTGGTTAAATGTCCATGCCTTCACACCTCAAGCATTGGCATTATAAGCATCGTGTGTAAATGCACAGCTGACTGTGTGTGTGTGAGAGGGGAGCAGCCCCTCCGTCCTCTAAACAGAGACTGACAGAGAAAATCTAGAGGAAAAACAAAGGAGGACAATCCGTGTCAACCCTGGAGGCTATGCTTGATGATGGTTAGGGAAGTACAGGGTATACTTTAGGTGTGAATATTGAAAATACAGAGTTAGGCTTACAATAGGGAATTACAGTTAGGGAAGTACAGGGTATACTGCTCTTTAGGTGTGAATATTGAAAATGCAGAGTTAGGCTTACAATAGAACTTATTATTTTCCCTGAAAAAACCCCCCGACTAGGGCAGGACTGGTGTAGGTGTAGATCCAGGGACAGAATGGGGACCCAACAATAACTAAGTTAGGGACTGTGCTATGCGAGGGGTGGAATCTTATCTTTTGAAAGCTAATCCAAACTCATTTTGAGGATCTGATAAAACTCTACAAAGCCCCATTTTCACCACTAACCAACTTTCATGGCAGAGAACTGAGACTTGTATTTTTGATCAGTATCAACTTTATCTGGAGCAAAATGACCTCAGATTAACCTGGGTCTAAGATGTCTTCTCTAAGAGTGCTTATCTGACTAACCCATTACTCTGTCTTTATGATATTGGTCTGATTCAGACTGACGATGGTTCATATTGTATGTTAGAACATCAAACTAAGGCCCAAATCATTCCCTGAAGAACTGTGGCAACATGAGGATTTTTGGTGACATAGACTGCCATCCTAAGAAAACTGTTAGCCTGAATGCTTAAAGGCAACTTATGTTTACATTTAACTGACAAGAACCTCTAGTAGCTGTGTAAATGTTGACTAATGTGTATCAGGCTCAGGTACTGTACCAGATTAGCAAACATTGTCATTGTTAAAGGTACTGACAAACAATGCATGTTGTTGCTTTGTTTGAAAGACCATTTGAGTCCAGGCGTAGCATGCAGAAATATGTCATGACATCTCTTCATGTGAAAATAGTAGAAGCTGCAGTTTTGGACCCTACATTTGTTTGTGTTATTATACTGTAAATGGCCAATTTCTGTCACAGTCTTCAATATAAATATATTTAAGTCCAGAGCCAAAAACACTAGAACCTCATTGTTTGCCTTATCCCAATAAGTCAGGAGAGCTCATTACAGAAAATCATGAGACAAACAAGGCAGTTGAGGTGGTTCAGGCATCTTATTCAGGTTGCCTCCAGGATGCCTCCCTTTGGAGGGCATGTCCACCTGGTAGGAAACCCTAGGGCAAACCCAGAACACGCTGGAGAGATTATATATCCCAGATGGCCTCGGAACACCTCGGAATCCTACCAGAGGAGCTGGAACACGTCGCCGGGGAGAAGGACGTCTGGGTTACCTTACTGAACCAGCTGCCACTATGACCTGACCCCGGATAAGTGGCAGGGAATGGATAGATGAACAGAAAATCATGGCATACTGTAGATATGAGTACACAATAGCTGACATGAAGGGAATTGATACTGTCTATATCTTCAAAAAAACAAAAGTAGTTTAGAATTTAGAACATTACAATGAAATCAGTAGCTAAAACTACATTCATTGATTGTGTGGGCAGGAGAACAAGCTGGAAACACAACAGGTGACCTGTTTGCTGTTCTGGATCTGAGAAGCGCCTCACTCAGCTGCACGTTGTAGGAAGATGTGCAGAGAACACCTTTTTGACGCTGTTTAGTGTTAGCAGGTGCAGTGGCCACAAGTAAAGGTTATGGGATAGTGCCAAACACTCACACCTACTGTGACAGTAGAAATAGACATAAAGTCAGCAAATTAATGTCAGTCACACAGTAATATTTATCTAAATCTTATTAAAGATGTTATTTTACAATGCTTTAAGAGTAGATGGAAGTTGCTACTGTTTACTCAGTGAATTCAGCACTTACTATATTGTGCAGGTGTATTTAACACGTATCTCTATTTTTTTGTATCTTTAATTTTTAAGATGATGTTGTTAAAACATTGACATAAACTTTAAATTAACTTGCTTTACAAAGTTAGTCACTTCTCAATTAGTGCTTCTAGCAGGTACTTTGGGACTCTTACTCCAGTTGTTATTTTGATGACTTCTTTTAATTTGAGTACCTGTTAGTATAAACCAACAGTACTCTTATTTGAGAACATTTTGGCTACTCTACTCACCTCTGATAATACTGCGGTCACAGACTTTGGAACATCTCAGAATGGTACACTTTTCCGGAAAAAAAAGGACTTTCAGACAGTGATGACTTTTTAAAAGTCTGTTCTTGTTTGGAATAAGTTCTCTGGGCCCTCAGGACTTTGCATTTACCCATCCTACATAACACCTTTAGTTCAAGTAAAAGCATGCCAATCGTGAAAAATGGAGCAGTGATCACACTGTCCTCCAGCTCCAGTTTTTGAAGAGGAAACCGCTGCCAGCTCTTACCTCTTATGCACCACAGCAGGACACAGCTGAAATGATTGTCTGTATTCCTTGATTCCCAGCAGATATAGACCATCCTCCACACTTATCTAAACTTTTACAGACCTTTCTGTGCTCAACTCTTCTGAATTTAACTCAAGTTTTATGAATCAGTCAGAGGACCATTTCAGGCTGCTTTCACTACAGTGCACAGCACAAAGACTGTGCTTACTGAGGTATAAAAAATCATATTCTCATAGCTGCATGAAAGCTCTGTTGTAATCCCTTTAGATTTAGTGCACCTTTTGCTAACATCTTGCACTGGCATTAAGGACTTATTTCAGCTCCTATCTGCCTCATGTTCAAATGCAAGACATCCTTAAAAGATATCATCATTAGGGTTCAGCAAGGTTATCTTTGAGGTCCCTGTTTTTAATTTTATGGATCCCAATTAGCCACATTATCTGGCATCCAGTGTAAAAGACATGCCAAATGTCAACATGCAAGCCGTCAGTGTGACGATTCACTGTGGCAACCCCTAAAACAGGAAAAGCCGAAAGTGACTTTCTATCTGCACTTAAGACCATTTAACTTTTTTACTTATCATATGCAGCTACAACAACTCTTAAAATTCAACTCTTCATGGAGTCTTTTCCCCACTCTCTATTTCCATTTCACCTTTTCTCTCAATAAGGTCCCAATGGTAGTCAACACAGAAACACAGGGGTCTCTTGGACAAGGTAACAATCATAAGATTATTTATAGACACCAGTTTTATTTCAGCTTTGATCCTGAGGAATTAAATTTGTCACTTTGATATGTCAAATAGCTTCAACACTTTTGACCCTGGAATGTCAATGCCATGAAGAAGAAGGCAGTTAGAAACATGACTCAGAGAGGTAGCAAACACAAAACATGTCACTGAACTCGTGGTGATCCCAGCCTAGCCTTCTGTTCAGCATAACATTACTCTAATATTATTGTAACATTAGCATCCACCTGAGGCGGACACCAATGCTACAAAGTGGTCAAACCAACAAAATCTTCTTGAAATCTGGTAAGCATGTTGTATATGTCATACAGTCATACTGCTGTGTATAATACTGTATAACCTCAGAACAATCAGGTCTTATCTGACTAAGTATGCCGCTCTGCTCCTTATACAGGACCTGGTCATCTCTCACTTTGACTATAGTCTCACAGCATGCACAGCAAAACCTCTGTAAAGTGTCCAAAATGCATCTGATCTTCAGCCAGTGAGACAGTTCACATCATTCTATTTTTCTTTACACACCACGGGCTCTCTATTGCTGCTCGCATGAACTTTAGACCACTAATGGTCATAACCAGTGGTGAGGATGATAATT